AAAAAAAAAAAAAAAAAAAAAAAAAAAAAGAAAAATGAAAGTCACGGCAAGGAATATTAAATGAGACCGACAACACTGTCCCTTCTAGCCCTTTATTGCACAACTAATCTTAAGTTAGCAAATAAAGACTATTCTGAAACTTTAAATCTTTTTACTTAAAAAATACTCACTTATGACGTGTTTATCGACCGTTAAATAAAAAATTTCGGCCTCCAGAAGAAAAACTCAAGAAAAAGAAAAGAATAACCAATGACTTAAAACTTAAGCAAAAAGCCTAAGTTTATATCACAGTTACCCATCCCACTTTTAAGTTTCAGTAATGGAAGAGTAACTCTAAGCATTATCCCACGACAAAGAGGGATAATCATAATGTACTCTTTCAGCAGTCCTGACAAAAAATTGCCGATGGTAACCGGTAAGTAGCACTAAATAAGTTATTCCTGCTTATGTCGAGAAAAATAATATAACAAAAAATTCAAGGTCAGTCTTTAGTACTGCTACCACAGGTAAAAGGACAGCTATGAAAACTAAAGTGAGCTCCCATAAAATCAATGATAGTCATCTGTCATAATAATGAATATCATCACCGAAAAAAAAAAAAAAGGAAAGCGGCTGTTTCTATTTCCTTACAACTGTCTCATACACTCGATCAGTTCCTCATTATTTTACGACAGACTGTCGTCTTCTAGTACACTTTGAAAGGAAATAATTTTCACCAGAAACAAAAGCGAGAGAATGGCACATCTGTTTACTAAAGATGTCAGTATTTCCCAACTTTACTTTATAAAACTTTTTTCACAAGAATTTGCACCCTTGGGTTTTTTGGATTTTTTGCTACGGGTAAAAACTAACCAGCCTGGTATTGCCTATGCAAATAATATAATCAAAAAATGGCTCCAATCCTGCTGCTTGTCCAGGAGAATTATCTTGAACCTAAAAATCAATTGTTTCCAATATCTGCATCCTGACAATAACAAAGGACAAATAAAAAGAACATTTTTAAAAAATTAGAAAATCTCTGATTAAATAGTGAAAAAAAATAAAAGCAAATTAGTGAAAAGAGAGTGAGAAAAAATAGGAATAAAAATTAGAAATAAATGAATAAATAAACATACAAAACAACCTAAAATAAAAATAAATGAACGAAAAAAAAAAGAAATACCCGCAAAACATGATAACCTTCACTTCCACCTCCAGGTATTTCTACACTAGAACCGTTACCCATTCTAAAAAAATTCATGATATTTCATTCGTAAAGTTTATTAAAAAAAACGAAAGTAGACGCCACTAGCTACCGAAATAGTTTAACAATAGTTAATATGGGTTGAACTTGAAGACGCTATGAGCTGCTACAAGATTTCAGAAAATAGTTCTAAAAACTGGAATAATCTTAAGGAGAAGTGATGGCTTTGAATAATTTTATAGTTTATTAAAATCAGGATACCTCTAAATTAGAACAAGCAAAAATGTAGGCAGTGAAGTTCTAAATTTCCGACAGCGTTTGATCAAGATTTGAAAGAGAAACTCGTTTCTGGTTCGGGAAAGTAACAAAAGCAACAAAATTGAAGCGGAAAAAATCAGTAAACTGCAATGCTACCACGAAACCAGATACGTATATATACCTATTTATACTTGTATATATATGGAGTAAACAGAATCAGTGAAAATTAACGAACACTTGGAATTCTGCATCTGCTACGTTGTCCACATTTTCCTTTTGTTTGTTATAAATCTACCAATATTTGAATAAATGCCAATTTTTAAGAGAACGTACATGATAATCATTTGATTTTTACTGTATGGATAGGCGTATGTTGCAATGTATTTTGGCTTTGGGCGATATTTAGCGGTTAAGGGCGAAAAAAAGGAACTGTGGATTGTCTGGTCCGCTGTGTTTTTTTTTTTCTTTGTTGTGAATCTTTGAATCTTGAAGGGTTTCTGTTACCCGTTCTTTTCGCCATTTTACAGCGTAGCACTGTATTTTTATTGAGGGATGATTTGTTGTTGTGCCCTTGGAGCGATTAGTTGAAATTAGATGTTGATTACAACTGCAGTAACTCGTTGCTTAAAACTTTCTGCTTGTAAACTGTCTTTGACATATTGCATTAGGTGGGACCCGTAATTTCTGTTGCTAATCTGCGATGGTTAAAGAAGATGAAGAAAAAAACACCTCTACAGATGGAACGGCAAGTACTGCAAAACCGATTAGAAGTCCAGGAAGGCCAAAGGCATGGTTGAAAATTGTTTGTTGGAGAAAAAACTGTGATAAAGAGGAAGAAAAAAGAAGCAACAAACAGAATTTTAATAATAGTGGTTTTAAGCTAATTGCTTATTCTAAATACTGATTGCTTACATCGTGCATGCTTATGTTTGTTATTTACAGGGTTCCACTTCAAGCACCAAACTGAAGGATAAAAATGCTCCAAAAGGAGCTCGCTCAGCATTTCTTCACTTTTTAAGGTAATTAAATAGATCTACCCGTTTGAGTTTTGGGGCCTCTTCATGTTTACGTTATACCCGTTCGATCAAAATAAGTGTTTACTTGTGATTTTAATCCTTTTATATTTTACAGTATAGCGGCAGATGTTTTCTCAACAAGCTTTATTTTTATTTTTAATGTAACTCACATCTCTTTGTCCTTCTGTTTATTCCTTTTTTTCTTCCGTCCAACTGATTGGTATCACAGCGTTGCAAGAGATTCCTGAGAGAGTTACTGTTTCTTCAGATGGTTTAAGGCAAATGTGGGAGAACCCGCTTTAGAGTTAAAAGGGTCAATCTTGTTTCTAAATTGGCATTACATCTTTGGTAAAATGCTAATTTTGTTGCCTAGTAATAAGACTTTTGGTTTAGAGCTGCTGTTGAAACTACAAAAATTGCCTATTTGGTAGTTATGTCAATGCATAAAAATTATTATTTCTTTACTTACGGTAAGGCTCGCATTTTTATTAGGTTCCATTTCATGATAAAATTTAAATTAGGTGGGAGAAGTAAATTGGTTAGGATATTAAATTGAAGTTTATATTTAAAAATACTTCATTGAAAAGATTCTGGTGGGCTTTTTATTTGCTTTGAATTACTTCATGGTTTCTGTGAACAGGTATGCTTTAGTATGTTAAGTTCTCCTAAGTAAGACGGAGTATAAACCCACTATATTTTTGAGCTGCGTGAGTTGCTTCATACATATGGATTTAACTTTACAGTTCAGGTAGGTCAAAAAATTTCTTTTTTAATTTTTTCGGGTAAGGGTTGTTAGGAGTTTTATAAAATAGTTCAAATAGAAGTAGCGTTGGTAAGGAACCGAGGAAGAAAAGATTCTTCAACTTTACAAAAAGATAAGAAATCAGAAGAAAAATATATTAACATTATATAAGAACAAGTTTGCTGGAAATCCATAAGAAATTTGCTGCTGACGTATCAAAGAATTATTTAACGCTACATTTTCGAAGGAATCTAGTCATTTGTCACACAGTCGACAATTTGCAGAACTGTCTTTAATATTAGTGTTGAAAGTTGTTGTCTGCATATGGTAGCCTCTCGTGATTCTAGAAGTATAAATATTTGGAGTTCACTTTGTTCAGAGGAAGTTTAACTTGAGTTTTATCTTGACGAGGCCATTTTAATCGGATGTTTTACTAAACGGTAGGAATTTAAAAAGTTTTTGGCATCATCTAAAGCACCTTGTGTATAAAGCACTTAAGTTGTTCTCTGTTGTTCAACAGTTTGCAGTTTTCTCGGGCAGCCTTCCTTTCAACTTATCTCAATGGAATTTCAACCTTCCAATTGTTTTTCATAGATAAGGCAAAACCTGTTTTAGTTCCATGATCAAGTACAAAACAGATTTTGAAACTATGATGGAAAGGCTATTATTATTATTATTATTATTATTATTATTATTATT